TGGTGGTGGTGTGGTGGTGGTGTGGTGGTGGTGGTGTTGGTGCATCAGCGTCTGGGTGGTGGGGCGGGTTGTAGATGGTTGGCGTTGTGCGGTGGGGTGTGCGGAATTGAATTTAGTGCGTTGCTGTCGCGTTCTTGTTTGTGCCTTCGCACCCGTCGGCTTTTCACTGGTGACTTTGCCTTGGATCCTATTAAAGCCTTATTGTCTATTCTGCTACGCTTTCGACGCCAATGCCACTAGCGGTTGGCTGCAAAATCAAGGCATGGCAAGATGCAGCAATGGTGGAGTATACCAACTCTCGTCCCTAGTCGCATCGTGATTGAGGAGAGGAACTCTATGGCAGATTTGGGACAAGATTCGAAGTGTCCATTCCTGTCCGTCTCTGCCTCGCATGACCAAAAAGAATCGAGCATTCCTTCCCAGTACTACTGTACTAGATAGTCTGCACTGCAGTGCCTACTGTTGCCCAGTCGTATAATAAGCTGGGCGGCCACCCTTTAGACGACTGGGTTGCCAGCCAACGACAGGGTCCATGAGATGCTGATTGGTACAGAAGGTTTCACCATCCTGTACGCTGTACAGCACTCCGTAGGCCGTTGCCCTTTTGCAGATTCGAGGACGGTCCATTTCTACTGGTGCTAGTGTCGGTTTTTGACAGGAGGGCTGCAAGAAGCTCCATATTGTGGATGCCTGCGACCCAATTGTAAATCTGCAGAGTCGATCCGGGCCAGCATAAACTGCCCCACATCTTCTGCTCACCTCAGGTCTATACAGCGTGGTGTGGGCCGTGCCTGTCAATAGCAGCGGCCATAGCAAGACCCGTAGATGATGTCTTCTGAAATTCTGTTCTTACTTATTGGCATTGGCTTCGGTCCAGTTCCGATGGCTTTTCTGTCTCTGGAGCATTCTGCAGGTTCCCACCTTCAAAAACCTTCAGGTGGCTAGCTTAGCATGAATCTGGCCGGTGACGCGATTTCATGTTTGTGAAGCTGAGCAGCCGTGTGTCTCTGCACTGCATCACGAAGTCTTGTCTATTGACTCTATTGCCTCTAAGCTGAACGTGGACGCCTTCGAGGACAAGCCCCACTGCCTGCGCATTGGTGCAGTTTGGCAGTTTGGTCATACGGTTCGATATGCAAG